ACCGGAGCCGTCCGCGCCGCAGGGTGGGAGGGGAGCAGATGCTTTTGGCACAACATGGCGGAGAGGGGGGTGTTCTGTGGAGTAGGGGCTCATCTCTAATTGTGGACTGATGGCTCGTGTTACCAATGTCTGAGATGACTGGGGGACCTCTGCGTGCAGCGATCACCGCTCACTACACCATGGGGGGGCATTCACGGCATGGGACACGAGGCTGCCATTCCAGGATGGCCATGTCTACAGGAGCCTTTGACATGACCAGTCTCGGTGAACCCCTGCTGAAGATGACTCCAGTATATCTGCAATTCATTAGGGAGAAGGGCACTGGGAAGATTGCTCCTTACACTTGTGGACATTAGGAAGCATTGCCCCCTTATAGATGGCTAACTAGATATGTGGTGTCAGTGGGAAGTTGTCAGAGGCAGAAATTGGTCATTGTTAAGGGGACCCCTAGCAACCTTTGGTGGAACCCCTAGAAACCTTTGCCGGAACCCTGGAGGAGGGAACCTACAGCAAATGATGGCTCCTGTTCAGTAGAGTTAAGCCCTTTTATTACAGGGGGTTTATAGAGCATTGGCAGTTGTGCTGGAATCATGACCGGTGCAACTGAGTGCTCATTTCCATTGTGTTCCAATGCGTGGGGCATTCATTTTAATGGGCTACCCTACATGTGAGAGACAGAAAAGCCATCTCTCCAAAATGTGCCACACTGAACCATGTGCTGTCACCATGTGGTTTTGGTGTATATTTGTGGATGCACAGGGGTGTCAATAAAGCCCCATCTGTTTGGGGGTGGCAGGTTACTGTACTTGTTAGGAAAGTATGTTTTTGCACACATGTCTTACTGGCATAGATGTGAACCTAGTCTAATCACTGTACATACTGTGCATTCATATCAGTCCCTTGCCACTGAGCTTACAATATACAGTCCCTATCTGACTTGGGTATATGCAAGGGTTGCTTAAGGCAGAACTGAAAGTGGTTCTGAAGGTTTTTACCTTCACTGTGCAACTCTCCTGTTGTACTTACCGAGCCCAATAGTGATTCAGCAATGTGCATGTGAACGGCTGCTCTCCTGGGTCTCTGCCTCCTCATTGGCTGAGATACAGCAGCAGAAGCTATTGGCTTTCATGACCATCAATCAAAGCCTGGGGGGTGATCCATGTTTTATGGACATGCAGGTCTTGAGAGCACTCACATTTCAATCGTGTTGCTGTGGGGGCATTGGGAGAAAAAGGAGCCTGGAGTGTCAGTGGGATACCTAAGAGGAAGATCAGGGCTACTCTGTGCAAAACTATTGTACAGAGCAGGTAAGTATAACCTTGGAAAGGCAAGTATTAACCCCTTAGTTCCACTTTAACCTCACAGCATGTTTTTGCAGTTGAGGGGAAACTGGTGTACCCAGAGCAAGGGTGGGTAAACTGCAGCCTTCCAGCTGTTCAACTGCATGTCCCATGAGGCATTGCAAGATTGGTTTTAAACATGACTCAGAGGCATAATGGGACTTGCAGTTCTGCAACAGCTAGAAGGCCTCAGTTTGTTCACCACTGACCTAGAGAAAATCAACATGAGAACAGGAAGAAGAGGCAAACTCCATGCCTTCATGACTTGGATTTGAACTGGGAGCCTATTGCTGTACAGTAAGCCACTGTGATGAGGTGCAAGGGGTCTTAAAATCTATGGATGTCTCATTTTTATCAAAGAATGTGTACCTAGCTTTCAGGCGAGTGATCCTGTAGAAAAACCTTACCAAATAACTGCTGCATAGCAGAGTTGCAGGAGTGACTTTCATTTCATCTTTAGTAGTTTCAGGCATGGTTATATCAGAACCAAATATTGAGTCATTCCATTGTTGGGAGAGGATGGCACATGCTGTTATGCATGTGGTATATACCCATGTCAGACTGTATACTTGACATTTGTGTCCTTGGCAGTGGTACCTCTTGATTGTTTGGCAGCTGCTTCATGGTACATGGCCATGTGAAAATACAGCAGCTTGTGTTTGCATTAGTGTTGCGTTACTTAAACTTACAGTTGTGCAGTCATGCTGCGCTGCACCCAAATAAAATTTACGTCGCGGCCCCCCCCAAGAATTGAGCTTTCTTGCGGTGGTATTTGATCGCCGTGCGTTTTTTTTATGTTTTGCACTATAAAAAAAGACCGACAATTTTGAGAAATTTTTGACTGCTATTAAACGTCCAGTAAAAAAAAGTGAAACAAATTTCATCAGATTTAGGCCAAAATGTATTCTGCTACATGTCTTCTAAAAAAAAAAAAAAAAAAAAAATCCCATTACGTATAATTTGGGTTTATGTGATCGTTATGGCAGTATATATGTTGGGATATTTAATTTATTTTTTTTTGTACTAGTAATGGTGGCGATCAGCGACTTATAATGGTACTGCGGCGGGCATTCTGACACCGGGGGGGGGGGGGGGGGGTTTAACAGTGATCAGTGCTAAAAAAAGCACTGACACTATTAATGGCACTGGGCAGGAAGGGGTTAACATGAGGGGCAATCAAAGGGTTAACTCTGCAGTGAGTGTTTTTACTAGGGACACATGGCAGTGTGCTTCACTGTAAGCACACTGCTTTGGATGGCTGTGCACAGTTGTCCAAAGTAGTGTGCCCGAGCTGACAGGGTAGAGAACTGTTGGTAAACAAAAAAAAACAGTTCTTCGGTAATCGCCAGCGGGCGATCACTGGCCAGGACCTGGTGATTGACAGCTGTGACCGCTAATGGGGTTGCGGGTAGGGCTCGTGTGCTCCCTACCCAGAAATGCAAAATCACATATGTTTTGCGCACCTGTGACGCCCTAATAGCAATATTTCTGCTATAGGGCCGTTGGGGGTGTGTTTAAATGTAAAGATCAGTATTTTTTGCTAGGCAATTACTTGGAACCCCCAAACATGATGGGTTTTTTTTTTTTTTAATGTGGAGGCCATAGAGAATAAAATAGTGGGTGTTACAATTTATCTTGCGGTATTTGTGCAGCTGTTTTTCAAATGCAACTTTTTTGGAAAACAGCTTTTTAATTTTTATGCACAGACAATATAATGCTGAATTGTTTGGTATTTACTCGATGTAACATCCTATAATTTACCGAACATGTGCTTGTGCAATGGGGACAAACGTAAACTTTAATATCCACGGATGACCCATTCAAAGACTTTATAGGTTACCACTTTCCATTGCACAGATGTAGAATTACTGCCCTCAATCTGACGTTTGCGATGATGCCTCGTGTGAGACAATTGCTTTTTATGCACATGCGGGACTGGCATGTGCGCTCTTTGTGCATGAGCTTTTAAAAACATTTTTCCAATGCCGCTTTAAATTTTTTTTCTAATCACTTTTATTACAGGGAATATGAATATGCCCTGTGATAGTGATAGGTAGTGACAGGTACTTTTTTACTGAGAGATCTTGGGTCTATTAGACTCCAGATCTCTCCTCTGCCCTTAAAAACTTCAGTATGATCCGATGGGGTTTTTTTTTTTTTTTTTTTCCAAACTCAAAGGTTTTACAACTGCGAAACCAGAAGTGATGAAATGCTCAAACGCTTCCAGTTTCCAATACCATAGAGATGATTAGAGCAAAACCTCTAAAAACAATCTGGCAGCTCAACACAAGTTTACTAATCTTTACCCCGTTGTGAGCATGGGCTCGTAGAAGGAAATACACCTGCTTTCATAGCAGAGTTACTGATAACCGTGTTTTTCACAGCATTGTATGAGCCTTTAGTGAAAAGTTGGTTTTATTTGATAGCCATACTTGCAGATAAACTATCTAGGTTTTGTGTAAACAGAAGCATCAACATCACTCTGTCCCCACAATTTATCCATGGCTGTCCAGAGTTTACAGCTTTCTGGGAGTAGAGCACCTGAGCACTGCAAAGTCATTGCTGGGGCTAGTCATTACCACCCTGGATGGTGCTTGTGTAGTAATGCTGTAAGTGCTATCTGGCTGTGTAGTGTAAAGTAGTGGGGGGGGGGGGGGGGGGGGGGGGGGGGGTTTTTTTCCAAAATTCTTTCATTGTGGCTTGAGCCATTCAGAGTTTTCTCTGAAGGGCATATGCAATACTGTGCTTTAGTGGCCACCCCAACCAAATGATGTCCTAGGGGGAATGACCCGGTCTTTTGGATGCCATGTGAATAGGCAACTTTTTATGCATACAGCAGTTAGGACAGACCTGCTTTTTCTGACTGACTTGTGTACTGTAAAGCAGAAGACCAGTCATTTTTAACCATGTTCCAAATGTACTAAAGAGCAGTGATGTAGCCTGTGGTGCCAAGGTGTCTAATGTTCAATCAGGGTTTCAGCAGCCCTAACAGGCCATGTTTTTGGATTTTTCCATAGCCAAAACAGTCACAAATACCATGCCAAATTGTTAAAGAAAATTATGTTTAGAATGACATGTCATACTTGCTTGGTGCAATGGCTTTGTACAGAGCAGCTCTGATCTTCACTTCTCGCACTCCTGGCTCCTAACCCCCCATGCACCAAGTGCCCCCATAGCAAGACTCTTGCTTTGGGGGGCACTTGTGTGCACGCTCCGGAGCCTTTGCTCTCAAGCATATTGCTGGATTGAGATTGGGCACAGGTAAGAATGGGGTTCTGGGCACTACATGCAGAAGGCTTTTTACCTTGATGCATAGAATGCATTAAGGTCAAAAACCTGTCTTGAGAACCACTTTAATGTTTATTTAAGAGCACCTATGCAAGTTGAAGGAAATCTGACCTGCTAAAGGTACTTGCAAACCACTGTTCTAGATCAAATATTGGTCAGGGCAGCACATCCGTCACAATCATATTTTGGATATCAAGGATTAGATCATTGCATTCACGTTACAAATCAACAAGTGAAATGATGTTTACCATCTTTCGGGACTGACCTGGAATGGAGAGAATGTACTCTACTGATCACTTGTAGATGTAAAAATATAGTAGCCAAATGCTCAGACTATTGTAGATATTAACTGAATGCCATTTCTTTTGCTGTAGAGACCATGGCGGCCCAGATGGAATGGACCCCGATGGTGTCATTGAGGTTGGTATGATGCAAGTTGCTTTCCTTACTTTATTCTTGGCATACAGAATATAAGACTTTCTCTTATTGCAGAGTAACTGGAATGAGATTGTTGACAATTTCGATGATATGAATCTCAAAGAATCTCTTCTAAGAGGAATTTATGCTTATGGTTTTGAAAAACCTTCTGCTATCCAACAAAGAGCAATCATCCCCTGCATTAAAGGTTGGTCTAACTTAGTCTGTTAAAATTGACAATAGCAATCATTAGATGGGCTGTATAGGGTTAAAATTTATATTCTGTTAATGTTTACAAGTGAAATGATGGTAACCATCTTTCGGGACTGACCTGAAATGGAGAGAAAATTTGTTTCTGATCACTTGTTTTATTTGTCTTGGTCACATACCCAAGTAAAATGTGGGAACAGTAAATGTGTATCCTACTTTTTTTAGGGTATGATGTGATTGCCCAAGCTCAGTCAGGTACTGGCAAGACAGCCACATTTGCTATTTCCATCCTGCAGCAGCTGGAGATTGATCTCAAGGAGACCCAAGCTCTAGTATTGGCTCCAACAAGAGAACTGGCTCAACAGGTATTGAGAGGGTAGTTACAAATGTGCGTGCTGCTCAATTTTCAGTTTGCACAACTGTAAAACCAACTTGGTGGCTCTCTAAAGCACCTTACGTCTAACAGTTTTGCAGACTGCTTATACCTTTTTATAATGTGTAGTTAAGGATGTGCAATATTTAGAATATGCAGCTGTGCAATATGAAAAGTGCAGTACACAATCTCTGCGGCTACTGCTGGCATGCATGTCACAATGTTAAATGCTTTATTTCATGTTCACAAGCTTATAACCTGAGCTGACTGCTTGTTAAAGCAAATGTATGTATTTTCATGCTTCACTTGTGCATTCAGTAATTCAGGCATTTTCTGGCAAAAGTGTGATTCATTCAGCTCCCAGTTCAGTAATTGTACTGTCTCCCTCCATAATGTAAAGCGCTGAGCAAACTGTCGGCACTATACAAGTCCTGTGTAATAAGAATTGTGAACTAAATAGAATTCATGCATATCAAGAACAGTTCTTAATGACTGGAAAATGGATTGCACTGGGCAACCCAAGCTGTTGTACTAGGTTTAATGAACCATAGTTTACAACAGAACCTGGTTGGAAATTGTTGGTTAATCCCCGTAGTTCATTTTTTTCTTTTTTTGTATAGCAAAGACTTTTACAGTGGTAAAATGACCCTAGTATTGGTCTTTCATACATGTGTGGAGGTCATTTTTGTGATACCCAGAGTACTTGTGAGAACAGTATGAATATGTAAAGCAATTGGGTGAAGTGCTCAGCATCCCCACTTGGCAAATCTCTAATACATTAATATTTGCAATGATTGCAATTTGAGACCATGTTTGCAGTCCACTTAAGTGTTCTGCTGTATGAGAATTTTTTTGAACACTTGGCAAGCTGACACAAGCCTCTATGCTCATGTACTCTGGAGATTACAAGTTGCTTGTTTATGCCTTTGACAAATTGAAAATTAAACTTCCCACATCTCAACAAATGGGAGCTTTCACAACCTAAACCTGTCACACTATACCAGAAGTAACTAAATAGGGATTTGCTACTATACAAAGTGTTGTGCAGATAGCCTCTTGCAGCATTTTAGTTGGATAATGCTGTAGATGGGTAAAAGGCAACCTTGCGTTTAGTAGTCACTTATTCTAAGGCTGGGACTTTTCACTTTTCTAGTGTAGGGAATGGGGTAAAACTCTTCGGGTACATTTGTAATCTGCCCTATTCAAGAGACTTCCTTCACTCCTGTTCTGTAGATAAAACAGTGATACCAAATATCCAAGTTTGGTAAATGCCCCCTTGGAACTGTCTCAGGAACAAGTCTTGACATTGAAAGGTTTCCTGTTGTGACAGAAAAATTAAACCAAGTGATGGTCCTAATCAGGACCTCAAGGTTAATCTTTGAAATGAGGAAGAATAGCTTTACACATTTAGATGTAACCCATGAATTTTCAATCAGTGAAGGCCTATATCTAGCCTGCAGACCTGCTCAGAGCTAAAAAGCCATTTAACACCTACTGCTAAGGTCCCTTGCTTTTACAGCTGGGATTGTGCTCATACAGGGAATAGAGCAAGCAGTGCATATGGGTAGCAGGTGCTGGATGCAGCCAGGTTTTCCAAAAAGACCATGCGACGCTGGACAGATTTATCGTCACTGTGCAGGATGTGCATATTGCTTCCACTGAGGGCAGTGAGTTGCTGGACAATTTTCACCAAAAGTGGGATTGTCCTTTTAATAACCTATTTACCTCTGCCATATGAAGCATGTTTTTCATGCTGCTGAAACGGGCTATCCAGTGACTTCATGCATGGACACTGGTGAGCTGGTAGTTCTGGTGTGGCAGTATGCATATGGGATGGAGAAGTCATGGTTTTCTTGGAACTGCAGGAACCGCATTCTTAAAACCACCCCTATTTGTGCAAGCACAGTTAGTGGCTTGTAGTAAGTGCTGCAAAATGATCACCTACTGGTGTGTTTTTAAAATAAAATACAAACTCCCTTTTATGTCTAACTTTAGGGCACTTAGATGTCTGAAACTGCTTACCCCTGAATAGCTGCCGGTCAAAAAAATTTTTTTTTTTTTACAAAATGGCATGTGGTCTTATAAAAGTAATGCCTATGGAAATGGCCATATATTGGGTGTTTTTGCAGAGCAGGCCATTTTCTATTGCAATAACCACTCAACAGACCAGAGTAAGTCTTTTGCACTGGGGGGGGGGGGCCCTCAGTGACATATTCATCACCTGCACCTGTGACGCTAACATTCTTTCCATCTTGCACTGTCAGTTATATTCCTTTTTGGAGGCAATAACTTAACAAGTTTTAATGCTCCCAAGTTTGGCTAGCAGTGCTATTTGACTCTGTTCAGCTTGGGAGGGTCAGGTCTCAAGTCTTTACTTCCATAACTGCCTAACTTTGGGCAGACTAGTGGTTTCTTGCATTCCTTTCAACTAGGGTTGTCCGTTGCATGTTCCTGAGATGAGGCAGGAACTGTAGGGCTTGACATAACAGAAGTCAGACTTAAAAAGCAAGTCCAAAATTAAGCCTGTCAACTTGGGCAATAAACTGAACATTTCAGTTTGGGAATACCAACTGGGGCTGTAAACAATCTATAGAAAAATGGTGTACATTCTCTTGGCATTAACCCCCCTGTAGAAAAATGATGCCAGATAAATACGCGTTCTAGCATTCTGTTTAAGACACTCTTCTGGCAAGTTGCTAAGAATGGCCTGTGTTATTCATGCATAAGAAATTTAATTGTAATTCTAAGATACAAGTGCTGCATGACAGTTGGGAGTCCTTAGACTTGAATTTTTTTCCACACACTTCCAAATGGCTTTATTGCTGCATATTGCTAGTTTAACAGGAAAAAGTGTTTTTTGGTTCTCATGTTGCCTAAATTGGCAGCATTAGAACTGCTTCGCTAGGCAGGACTGTCAAATTTCTCAAATGTTTTTCGTTTTGTTTTTTTCCTCAATTTTAAAAAGTGCATGTTTTAAACATATAGCATAAGCACTTTACTGGCTATGGCTCCTAATTTGAATCTGTAATGCAGCAGTCTTTTATTTTGAAGTGTTGTGGACAGGGTGAATAATTTAAAGCTAGCATTGCAGTTTGCGTTCACATCACTGTGTGAATTTAAAATGTTTTCTTTTTCTTCGTCCATCAGATTCAAAAGGTTATTTTGGCCTTGGGTGACTATATGGGTGCAACGTGCCATGCTTGTATCGGAGGTACAAATGTCCGTAATGAAATGCAGAAGCTTCAAGCAGAAGCACCTCACATAGTGGTTGGGACTCCTGGGCGAGTGTTTGATATGCTGAATCGACGCTATCTATGTAAGTAGTGTTGCTACTGAAATGTCAGTATGTGGGGTTTGGCTTACTCATACCAGTGCAGATTCTGTTCTGTGTACAGAACAATGAAGCTGTAAACACTCTCTAGATTTGCATCCTAAAACTTTGATAAAGTGACCAGCAGGTACTGACCGAAGCAGCTGACATGAAAGTTAAAACACTTGCGTCTCATGTGGTTGTGCCCAGTAGTTCACTTGAGCTGACATGATGGTCCAAATCAAGAATTCTGTCCACATAAAACTTTGTAAATGTATGGATTAAATCTTGTGCCTGGAAGAGGTGGTATACAACTAGATTATCAGCTAGGCATCATAGCAGCTATTCTTTCTGCATATTCTATATTAAATCTCGCTTCATCCCTGCTCATTCTGGTCTGTTTCAGCTCCTAAATGGATAAAGATGTTTGTCTTAGATGAAGCAGATGAAATGTTGAGCCGTGGGTTTAAGGATCAAATTTATGAAATCTTTCAGAAGCTAAGCACAAATATTCAGGTAACTCAATCAGATAGCATTTATTCTTGTAACTGAAGCTCGAATAACATCAGTGGTGCAGCTTTGTATATTTGCAGGCAAGGTAAACTTTTTGCAAAATGTGCCTTTTGCATGTTCAATTAACAGCAGCATGGGAATATAGCAAAGACCTTCTGTACACTTTAACCATTTGCCTTCTTGGAGATTTACCACCGCCCCCCTTCATGACCAGGCAATTTTTGGCTATACACTGATATTTTAACTGACAATTGCTTGGTCATGTAACACTGAAACATGGTATAAATGTGTGTACACACAAATAGAGCATTCTTTTTGTTATGTCTTTTAGTCTATAGTGCAAATTAAAAAACCCAGTGGTGATCAAACATTTTGAAGCAAATATTTACTGTACTTTTTGTTATAAAACATACCTAATTTTTTCATTCAGGCCAAACTGTATTCAGGTTTAGGTCTTTGAATAAAAATCCAAATAAGTGTATATTGGTTTACATGAGTTACAGCATTTACAAATGTGTGGGGGGTTTTTGTTTTATACTAATGGCAGTAACTGTCGCAGGACTGATAATACAGTGAGGATTCTGACACTGGCTGACATGACCATTGACTCCCAATAGTGATAAGTGCTAAAAAAAAAAAATGCACTGACCTACTGCCACTAGGCAGGAACTGTGTTGACATCTGGGGCAGTCAGTGTTAGCTGTGCCTAACTGACGTGTACTGTTTTACTTGGGGATGTGTGACAGTTTGTCTTCCTGCTTTGCAGGGAGACAAAAACCAGCACATCCCACTGTTAGATCTGTGTTTTTTACCAACACAGAATATTGCCTGTCACTAGCTCTGCTCAGTGGGTCCTGGTCCTTGGCATGTCAGGGAGCCAGTGACTGCATAGGCAGACGCGTACCCCCTACCCAGAAAAGCCTGTGTAAATTTTGCACAGCTGGCCTGCAGTGTAGCAGTAAAGCTTCAGTGTGCAAGCGATTTTTTTAGTTCTGAAAGTATACGTTTTTCATGTGTTAGGTCAGTACTTGCAGCGAACCTAAAATAATTCTGGCGCAAAGTGGATGTTTAGTCTGAGGGTCTAACATGATTGTCAACATGGTTACCACTTGGTGCTTGCAAAATGAATATTGGTACAAGGCAAATGTTTTGGGTCTTGGAGTTAGTTTCAGACAGTCTAAACATATTTCTAGGTTCCTATTTTGCCATGTTGGTTGCAGAAAGTGGTTTTATAGAACTTTCATTAAAGCATAGTTTTTGGCGTTAATGCTGCCTTTTTTTTTTTTGTTTTTTTTTTTGTTTAGGTTGTCCTCTTATCTGCCACAATGCCTACAGATGTGCTGGAAGTGACCAAAAAGTTCATGAGGGATCCAATTCGTATTCTGGTGAAAAAGGAGGAACTGACTTTGGAGGGTATTAAGCAGTTCTATATTAATGTTGAAAGAGAGGTAAGAACAGAAGTACCAGCTTTGTACACTGTCTTTGCTGGCCTTTATGTTCTGTGACCTACTTGCAAAATTTAGGAAGTGGAGTTTGCATGCTGATGCATATCCAAATATCAATAGTTACTTTTTTCTTTAGGAATGGAAATTGGACACTCTCTGTGACCTGTATGAGACACTGACTATTACACAGGCTGTAATTTTTCTTAATACTAGAAGAAAAGTTGACTGGTTAACGGAAAAAATGCATGCAAGAGATTTCACTGTATCTGCTCTGGTAAGTTTCAGCTTCTAAAAAGCAGGATAAGTTACAATATGGCAGTGTAGTGCTGTGTTGTCGTTCCCCCTGCTGAAATAAAACTGTTTCCTACTATCCCTGACTGTTCAGTGTGGCAGGCAGGGACGCTTGGTCTCAAACAGCTATTGCAATTCTGTGCAAGAGGTTATTAATGCACTCCCTTAATTTTTCCAGCATGGTGATATGGACCAGAAGGAGCGAGATGTCATTATGAGGGAGTTCAGGTCTGGCTCTAGTCGAGTATTGATCACTACTGATTTGCTGGTAAGGGTGTCTTGGGCTGAAAAAGGGAGGGGGGGGGGGGGGTGTTAATCCAAAGACTTGTATATTCTGTGATGGTTTCTTGTACCTAGCAGTGATGTTCTTTGGGATATAAAGAGCCATATTCCACAGTGAATTACACAGTTGTTCTTCACCACTATACTGTGGCTGACAAACTTTTATCTAGATGTTGCTAAGTTACTTTCCCTCTGCCAATGTAGCAAGGTGTTTTGTCTCCAAACTGTTAAACTTGTTTCTTAAGTGGGATAAATTTTCTTTACAGAATAGGAAAGTTTCCCTAACTTGGTATCCATGCCCACTGTGTTCCAAAGTCTATTTTATTTTAATCGTAGTCTCAGCTATGTAGAACATCAGACTACCAATTACGGAATTTTGTTGGCCAGAGCCAAAACTTTAATTTTAGTCAAATCTGCAAATGATTGAGCTTTAATTTCCTTTTTTACTCTAGGCACGAGGCATAGATGTGCAGCAGGTTTCACTGGTGATAAATTATGACCTACCCACCAATCGTGAAAATTACATTCACAGGTCTGTATACAGTACTTGTATGCTAAAATGCAAGAAAAATGTTAATCTCCTTTTTCCTTAAGTTTAGTAGTTAAGAATATTCCTCATAGCTGTCAGATGACATTCAGCAAATGCAGCAAGATTTTGAATGCCAAAGCACTTTCTACCCTTAAGAACAAGCAAAGTAATTAAGGCAGGTTAAGTTACAGTATAGCTGTGAAGTGCTGTTCTGTCGTTCCCCCTGCAAATAATAAATTGCTTCCTACTATCCCTGTCTGTTCTGGAACAAATACAGCCGACAGGGACGCTTGGTCTCAAACAGGTTTTGTCTATATTAATATGGCATGTAGTTAATTCCACAGGCAATCTTTACAAAGATTTTATGTTTAAATAGTTAAGGAGCAGAGTACCGTTTTGCTCCCGGACGCAGCAGAGAATGGCTGTGGAACTGGTGTGTATTTCTCTTGACCAGAGAAAACACACATCTGGTCGTGGAACAAGGACTTGTACTTGTAAAGGTAATGTCTTTATATCTTTCTGTTGTCAAGATACAACAGTTGGGGGAACTTGGTTGACTGGATATTAATGCTTTGGCTTTCTGCTGTTACATGCCTACATTTTCAGATTATGTACATCAATCTGTTACTACTCAAACAATGCAGGCACACACTATACTAATAAAAGTAATGTAGTATATGTGGTGCTTTGCACATGCAGTTTCAAACATACTACAGAAAAAGCCCTGAGATTAGACTCTGAAGTCTGGCTGTCAGATTGTGTAAGGCTTTCCCTGCAGCAGTGCTGGGGGAGCAGATGTGGACTGAAGGGGTTAACATGCTAAAAATTATCAATCGTTCCAGTGTTGTGAATGGGGAACTTATTGATTTCAAGCGGCAGAGTATTTTGAGTGTGCATGCACTGTTGGTAGTAACGGCATCTTTTCAAACCTTAGAGGACACTTTGATTTTTGTTTAAGAAAATGTAGCCAAAAAATTGGGCATTGGTGGCTTTTGGGTGGTGGGAATACTTCTCAGTTGTGGTTCTGAGCAGAAGGAAAATACACTGGATATTGTATGTGCTATAAAATTAGGCACGGTGTTAAATGTTGGACCTCAGTTTGGCAAAAAGACTGCTGGGGGGGGTAATATCTGCTCTAAGACTTGCTGTTTGTATTTTTTAGAATGGTATAGTTGAGTTTTGTACCATAACACTGGGTGTGTATTCCTAGCAAATTTAAGTTTCAGGTTTTCCTGAAAAATGGATTTTCAACACTAAAGGTGGCTATTGACCCAGGCTAAGTCACAAAAGTTTGCATGTTGAAGATCTAGCATCTTTGCAAAATGTAAACCCTGGTTCACTGTGCAGGCTGGTTGCAGGTACAGGAATTACATCTATACCTGCAGCCATATAGCACTGCTTACAAGATGTGCAAGGCTGCCATTCATTTGGAATGGCACCCCCACACATCTTGGCCTACAGTGCAGGTGCCATAGAAAAATTTCCTGGTCAAAGGCAATTTACTTTATCTGGCTGTTTCCTTTTTAAAAAGGTGCATGTGCCTTTTTTTGCAGAAACCATGTGGACTGCAACAGTTTGAACCAGGGTGAAAAGTGACTTTTGAATGAATTTGATCCAGCCTGCAGTGCAGGGGGATCAAAACATCCATACTTTCTACCTTGGCTTCCTAGCCTGTAATCTGGATCAGGTGCATTTTCAGCAGATCCTTGTCTTGAACTGCTGTCTTTGCCCTAGCTTTTACCTGGAGTTTTGAATTGCTTTCAAGGACACTGGAAAATGTTTGTTCAGTTGCCTATTACATACATGGCTGGACTACTGTCCTATAGATCACGGGTAGGCAAACTGTCCCTCAGCTGTTGTACTACATGTCCCATGAGGCGTTGAAAGTTACAAGCATGATTCCAGTGGCACGTTCATTGGGACTTGCTCAGCAACAGCTATTGCCCACCCCTGCTATAGATGTAGAACAGAAAAGTGGGTGACTGCATATTATGCAAGCTTCTTTCAACCTTCACCCTTTTCAGCATGTTGCTCCTCCCATTCTGTAGACAGATCATGTGTTTTTTTTTTTTTTTTTTTTTTTTTTAACCTTTTTTCTAAGTCTGGCCCTGCCTCCCCATGCATGTCATTTGCCTTAAGTGAATGAATGGTGCACACACTGCCTGATGTGCCTCCTGGGATATGCATGTCCCATATCCCAGAAGGCTTGGCCTTCCATAAAGGAAAGGAGGGCGGGCCTATCGGTGCATCAAGAAGCCTGCCTGCTGAGCCTGTTGGAGGGAACATGGTGATGTGGGACAACGCTGGGTCCACTGGATGGGTGAGTATCTGAAATGTGCATATACCACCTGTCAGGTAAACAGGGCAAAAAAGGGCAGTCAGACAGCAGTCTGCTTTAAATTGCCAGGAAATGTATTTTTGCCTTTTCAGATCACTCTGCTTGTGAAATTGGTTGAATACTATACATTAATGTAGATAAGTGAAATGAATATCTGGCCTTGTTAAATGTGTGTGTGTTTTTTTTTTTTTTTTTTTTATGGTTTTACATGTACACAACTACTTGACACTGGCACCTTCCAGCCCTTAAAGGGCTTTTAGATGCTTGGAGGTAGGGCAGGGTTTGATGTGACCACTGTGATTGGCACTCACATGATCGGAAAGCTCCCAATAAGGTAGTGATCAGGAGCTTTCCATTGGCTGCTTGGAGCACAGTTTGCACGCTCGGCACAGTTGTTTTTTTGGGTATGCCTATATGCAGCCTCTCCTTGCCAGGAGGCTGCATATGCATGTGGCTGATGGGAAGAGGGTGAAATCTGGAAACTAAGTGTTTTTTATTGGGGGATTTTTTGGTCATCCCTATTCTACTTCTGAGCCCAGATTCTAGAAAATCCAGGCTGTATTTAGCACACTATGCTTGGTGGCTTCTCCTTTGGTTGTCATGTTTTTAAATGCTTTAGTAATTGTAACACCTCCCTTTTGCTTGGGACACATGAACAAAGTGATTTTTGCTTTCTTGCAGGATTGGACGTGGAGGTCGCTTTGGTAGAAAAGGCGTGGCAATTAACTTTGTTACAGAAGAGGATAAAAGAATACTTCGTGATATCGAGACTTTCTACAATACTACTGTGGAGGAGATGCCAATGAATGTGGCTGATCTTATTTGATCCATGGGATGAGATTTTTTTGAATGCCGTACTCGCTGTTGCTGAATAGGCAAATCACGACGCGCATTTGTGCTTTTCTTTGGAAATATATTGAATCTTGTCTCAATGCTCATAACGGATCAGAATTCCAGATTTTTTGATAAGCAAAGCGACAGTAGTCGCCTTCTCTGGAAGAGAAGCTGTGGGCTTATCCTCTTTCCAGAGTTTAGACTGTTGGGGTGGGTTGTAAAGCAATGGGGTCTTTACTTTTTTGTGTTAGACATTTATTTCCTAGATATTTAGAAGTGGTTGTGTTTGATGTTCTTTATCATTTAATAATTTACTTATGGACTAAAAGATATAAGTGCTGTATAAAATCAGCCAATTATGTTAAATTAGCATATACACATTTATTGTACATTACAGATGTAGAATTTACTAAATTAAAAAGCCTATAGCTTTGATTTAATATTTATTCAGTAAGGTAAGTGCATTTGTGCTTGACCCTGAACCCCAACGATCTGTTGTCTGGCTTAAATGTAAAGTTGCCACATTGCACATGACTTTCAATGTTTAATAAATAGTACATTTTACTCCCTGTATTTCCTGTACACATTTTTGGGCAGTTTGTCTGCTAAACTCAAGGTTTCAGATTCTATTTAGGCTATAGAAAAGTGGCTGCATGCAGTACAAAAGTGTATATTGACAGTTAACAAAGAACTAAACTGCATCTAAATACTGCAAACAAATTGCTTTAACCACTTGCTGACTGGCCTATGTAGCTTTACTGCTTACAAGGTGGCTGCTCCACAGAATTGTGTGTGTATATATGGGGTTCTGCATTTCTGGGTAGAGGGCAGGGCATGTGCATGCACAGCTTCGATTAGTCAGTACATGCCAATCACCAGGTCGCAGCCAGTGATCTGCTGGCAATTGGCTCGGTCTCTCAGAACACAGCTGTGTTCAGTGACAGAAGATCTAGTTGATTTTTTTTTCTCATTCCCAGCTGAGGAATGAAAACTAGATATCCAGTAAAAGCAGCACATGATACGTGCACTTAAGCACATTTAACCCCTTTCATTGCCCTAAATGTGTAACCCCTTCTTGCTCAGTGTCATTAGTACTGTGACAGTGCATAACGGGTGGTAGCTGCCACTGACAATGCATCATTGTCAAATTGGCTGTGGCACTATTGCAGTCCTGTTAGAAGTTGCTGATTGCTGCCATTACTAGAGTCACAATTTCAGTACATAGCCATAATTTGATGATATAAACTTTCATATAAACCAATCTATATACTTCACACAAACCGTTAACATATTGGTCTGTTTTTAAAAGATGTAGCAGAAAATACTTTAGCCAAAATTTAAGGTTTGATTTTCTTAATGTTTTTATAGCACTGATTTTTAATTTTTTTTTTTTCTAGATTGTCTTTTTATATAATAAACCCAGAGATGATCAAATGACAGCTTTTTTGTGCATATTTGTTTAACAGTTTTAAGTCATGCAACACTGTACCTAGTAGTGCAACACCACATGGTGAAAAAAAAAAATGGCCTGGCCAAAAAGGTAGGGGGGACGGAACGCAGCCCCTGACCTTCTCACCAACGTGTGACCAAAGGACTAGACAATCTCACTGTGCTGTCACTTGCATAACAATGCCACTCAGCTGTGCCCTGCACAAAGATTTTCCAGCTCGTGGGACCACAATCTATGCCAGCAGCCTGAGAGCAGTTCTGGGTTAGGTTAATTGTGCAAATAACCCTTCACACAGCCCCACCACCTATTTACAGAGGAGGAAACTCCTCCCAGCAAGAACACTGATTTTAGTATAAGCATCTGCAGCACAGTCACCAGAAGGTCATATTCAGGAGGATTACATACAGTAGCACTCCAAGAGACAGGGATTCTTTAGTTTACAGTTTCAACACTTTTCAAAAATAGGGTTTATAAAAAATGGTGCACTTAACAATAAAGCAACAGAAATAAGAGTTCTTTAACATCTTTTTCTGTAAATATTTTAAGTAAGCAGAATACTTGCAAAGTCCAATGGTCTGAGCAAAAATGTTGCCTTGGCCGTTTTTTAAAATGTTTTTTGATTCTTGTTAAACAAGAGCTCCCTTCACCAGGCCTATCACCCCTTTTCTATGATTAAGGGGTGTTGCCTGAGAACTGACCAATCACCCAGTTAGGGGATGGGTTCTAGGTCACAAAGTTTATGACAGTCTCAACTACAGTGTCATACTAAAATTCTAATACATGCCGGTGGTATTCTAGCAACTGGCAGATTAATATTCATAATTGTATGTCAAACCCAGGGATAACAAACACTGTGTACCTTTGTTTCCCAGGAGGGAAGAGACTGCTTTCTTATGTGCTAACAGTCATGTAGAACCTTGTTTGGTATAAAATGATCTATCCAAATATATACCTAATATTGTGCCCAGTTCCTGTTGAATTTTATAAATTGTTACATGGGGAATAGACATTTTATGGCACGCTCTGCATTCCTAGCTCTAATGGCCTAACAGGTCAGGTGTGACAGCTGCCTGAGTTAGTTTTACAATAGGGCAGAGGGAAGTGTCTGCTAAATAGACATCCTGCCAAGACTAGTGGTTTACAGCTCTGCAGCTGGCTTCTATTTGTGTTTTATTGATAAGAGGCTCTTTAGAAGTCCATTACAGCTACAAATTCCATTTTAAGAGGTGAAAAACAAGATTGCTGTCAAAGCTTCCATGTCTCTATTGTGGATAATTATTACAGGGGATGTTTAAATCTTCCAGAGGGCAAGTGATTAATATTCAAGCACATTTTGCCCATCCATGTCTCAATGCTTTATTCTGCTGAGATCTTTCTGAAAGACCTTTAGCATTTCTGGCCAAGGCCATCTTAACATGGCAGAATGCTACATGAATCTGCCATGAAGGAAGGATGTGCTTAACTGACTGAACAGTATGCATTAAAAAAAAATTTTTCTTTCTTAGATTCTGTCATCTGAGTAGCTCAGTGACTGTACATTTTTTACACTGTTACTGCTTATACAGTGAAGATTACTGTAGCCTACATGTATTGCCCTCCACCCAACACTGCCTTTTAATACTGGGTGGACTAAATTAAGGAAGGTGAAAAAAAGAAGGGCCCATCAGTACTTTAAAACCTATGCTATGAAGTGACAGAAAAGGAATCACAGTAACTAGGAACAGTTTTATTTGAGCTCACCAAACAAAACAATGACTTTACTAACTTCAAACTGGGTTATGCAGCTAATAGGTAAGCATGATATTGTTTTAAAAAGCAGATACACCAGCATGAAGGCACACATCTTCTGGTTATACTCCAAACTGAATCTACTCTGGACTATGGTCACAAATACCATCAAAATCCTTACTGGATTTAAGCTGAAACTTGGCAGCTTGCTTACTCCATACAACAGCAGAAGTATATACAGTACCTTATACAGCTTTCTTGACGTTCACCTCTTGAATGCAGCAGAAGCTGGCATCCCTCTTAGGCATACACACTGGACATTTTTGATGCTGCTCTTAGGGGTGTCTGGCTTTTTTTTTTTTCTACTTTGAAATGCCCCTGCATGTTAACCCTATGTGTCTAGGCACACATAGAAGTTTAGAAGAGTTTAGAGGCAGGAGGAAGAAAAAAAAACAATTGTCAGCTCGTCCAGGAGCGGCAGCATTTTGGCAAAAAACACTTGCATGCTAATCCATTATTCTGGCCAATGAAATGGATTAATGTGTTACATGCGCTTACAAACTTTTTTCTTCCAAAACACCGCTGCCAGGAGGAATGGCGTCTGGGAGAGATAGCAAAACATCCAGTGTGCATGAGGGCCTTATGTGGAAGCAAAGTAACCGACCGCCCACAGACTGCAGACCAGCAGCAGCTACAGGCAAAGTGATGTATGGCTGTATTAATGTGGCTCTGGCTGTATTAACACGGGGGCACCTACTACCTCTGTGTCCACTGGACACAGCAGAATGAAATCCCGGTGAATGGGACCCGGTGATCATGTGATTGCTATGCGATCACAATGTTGGCAAAGCTGTAATGAATCAATCTGTTTCATAACAGCTCTACTTCTCTTCCTGGTGAGCTGTGATTGGCCCACAGCTCTCACATGATACATGGGGCCATGTGACCAGCTCTAGCCAATCACAGATCATCATTATTATTTTTACCTGTCATGAACTTAACTCATTCATGACAGTTCAAAGCAAGCTTTGCATTGCAGGAGCAATATTTGAAAAAAAATAAAAATCCCTGATCACCCCTCCCAGAGTAGTACAGTGTTACTATGGTAACATTGTACCACTCTGATAAAAGTATTTAAAAAAAAAAAAAAAAAAAAATAAAAAAATACCATTATTGAGAATTAAAAAAAAAAAAAAATTAAGGGGTTTTTTTTAAACTCCCTGACGACTGCTTACCCGCATTTTGTGGGCGAGCAGCGGCTCTGGGCAAAGTGACAAAATATTATGCCGCTTCCTATTTCAGGGTGTGCCCGCTGCCCCCTGTCGGTCCAGGTAGAGAAGAGAGTACACTGCACCAAGTAAAAGCACTACATTTTACACGCATACATTAGATTAGCACATTTAACCCTTTGCTCACCCTGTCACCAAGCCAGTGCCATTAGTACATTGTCAGTATAGAGTATTTTTCACTGATCACTGCATTCCTGCCACCAGCAACATCAGATAATGTCAAGGTCTGTAAGCTGTAAGCCAGGGTCAGCTAGCATTAGATTTCCCGCAGACTATCGCGCTCACACTATAGGTCACTGATCACCATTACTACTATAGTGTTTGTACGGATCAATATAATGATCATGAATATAACTATACTAGTGCCTCCTTTGTATAGTGTCCACAAAATGCAGTGTTAGCAGGATCAGCCCCGTTCACTGCCAGCACCTCCTCTGGTTTTTCACAGATTTGTATCGATTGTGGGCCAAAGCAATTTATACGCACAACAATACATCTCCGCCCACCCAAATTCAGCTCTTGCCA